TAGCACTAGGTCCCTCACTCCCCCATTCTTTTTCTCTTCTTTCCACTCTAGGTCTTTAAATATAATTAGACGGGCTTTATGGTTGTACGACAGTGAAGCATCAATGTCAACACTGATAGTGCTGTCTTTGATGATGATGATGACCACGTGTTGTTGGTGCAATCCGTCTCCCGTTACTCCCGCACGCCTGGGTGTTGGTGCGGAAAGAAGCAGCGGATAATCGATGTCAGTGGCCTTCACTCAACCAGTTTCTTTCCAGATTATCTGACTGAGCGCTTGGAAGTGTAGGCGTGAACCTAGTATCAGGTCCCCCCCTCATCTATTCTTCCATTCACTTTGAGGCTTAGTGGTTAGAGCGCGAATTTACTGGCCAGAAGGTCTGTGGTTCGAGACCGACCTTTGCCTCTCGATTTTCCCTGTCTAGGCTTGGGCAACCTGGTAGTATCCCAGCCCTCGTGTTACCTTCTGGTGGCATGGCAGTTAGGTGCCGAAAAAGTGCAACAGCTGAACGATTTTTTATATATTTTAAATTTAATGAAATAAATTTTGCGGTTTCACGGCAGTGAAGCATGAATGTCACCACCGATGTTTCCGTCACTGTCGATGATGCTTGTGTGTGTCTTTGTCATCTGTGTCCGTCCTGCATCTGATCAGCTTATTCTCACTAGTCATGTGACGACCCTCGGGTAGCTGTCCCACCAATTAGAATCATGAGTTTCATCTCGGATAGGACTATTGGCACTCCATACCTGCGAGTTATCATTCCGCACCTCGTCAGCTGGTGTGCGCTGCGCTTGGTTAGCCATAGATTTACGTCTTTGTTGTTGACCCCGCCAACGTGAACATTTCCTTAAATGTCCGCAAATTTTCGGACGTAGGCTTTGCTTCGGATATTCCGAGTCGCCTAACCTACGCGTAATCTATGGTTTCGCATCTGGAATTCAACAGCCGTGCTATTTTATGACTTTCCCAGCTTTGCCGCTGAGATTTATCGGAAAAGTTTCGACCATTCGGACGTACTCTTAGCTGCAAAAGTAAAACTCAAAGGACGCCTATCCAAATTATTATTATGCATAATATTCGGAATGTCACCGTTTAATATAAGCTATTTGATCTGTGTGAAGTTAAAGCGGTCACTGACGTAAGGACCTCCGGTCGTGACTGCAGTCCTGTTATTCACTTTACCATTGCGACCACAGCAACACTTGCTGTTGGTTAGGGTTAGTCAGACGATTTTCTCCATCACATTGCCTGTCGTACTATGATTGTAAGTTGGTAAATTTTAAGGCCCCGTTAAACAAAGCATTATCCTATCAGATGTGACTCATGTTTGCTGTGGTGGATTTTTTGAATTGGCTTGTCGAATCTTTGCTCCCGTGCTTCTTTCGAGTGGCAGCTAGGCACTGAAAGGGTTCTGCAGATGAAGCATTAAGTGAAGTGATTCTGTGACTGCCTCACTAGCCCTCAATCTTCCACAGTCAGTTACACTGGCATTCCCAGATCCATTGTGGTGTTGTCGAATCCTCCCGTGCTTCTTTCGAGTGGCAGCTAGGCACTGAAAGGGTTCTGCAGATGAAGCATTAAGTGAAGTGATTCTGTGACTGCCTCACTAGCCCTCAATCTTCCACAGTCAGTTACACTGGCATTCCCAGATCCATTGTGGTGAAGTAATCATTCCATATGACTTAAGGTGGTCCATTCATCTTCCATCACGGTCTGAAGATTGGCAGTTCGTGCTCCCATGCTCAAACTACCGTGTACATCTCGGCCATCATTTTCAAGCTTCCTGACGTGATTGTTTTCTACCGGATTTCTCGTCTTCGAGTGAGACTACCCTCTCTCGTTTCTGTCCTGATATCCTCTTTTCAGTCGCAGCTGAATTAACCATGGATATTGTTACTAAGTTAGATCGGAATTCATATTGACCCTTGTTATAGCTTTTGCGTGCTAACCGCCGAAGTACGTTAATCCCTTTCGTTCAAAACAGGCTCGACATCCAACGCTCCTTCAAAATTTAAACCCTTATTCGCTCATTACCGCAGCTTCTCATAATGATCCCTAGCCACACAGTCCGGTGCCTTGTCATTAGTTTTTGTGTTGAGCTCCTGGATCCTAAATGAATGAAATGTGTATGCAAGATCAGGCGTCTGTGTGTTCTCATTATAGTTATGAAACTCCGTCGCATAGTGAAGATCACTTTCAGGGCGCATTGTGCCTTCCTATCCTTCGTTTGAAATACTACTCATGGGAGGGTTGCACAACTTACTACGCCTATGAACTGTGAATAAGTTGCGTATGAACAATCACAACAGTCCACTACGAAGTGTGAAAACAACTTTTGTGTTAAATCCTCCTACTTATCAGTCTACCGTTGGGTTTTGTCTGAGGTAGACGTTCAAAGTAGTAATTTCAAAATAGGTTTCACATACGGTTTGGAAAATAACCTCGCCTTAAGCCCCTTTGTATGCTGTCTTACGCTTTTCTTGTTTTTTTATCATCGTATTCCACCATATTCACATCTTACTATTTTCGGGAATGAGTCTCATTTATTTAGTGACAGCTAATAAATAACTCGTTCGGCTGTGGTACCCTTTCGGTACCTAGCTGCCATTCCACCCGAAGGAAGCCAAAAGATGATATGATGGCGGTCAGTCTATTCAACAGGGCTTGTACTTCGCTTTGGTCTTCAAAGACGAGGGCAATATCATCTGCATACTCCAGGTCGACAAGACTCTCACCAGCAACAGTTTGAACACCGGGGTTTTGAAGACCTTCCAGCTCTCGCCTCATTATTTCATCAATGATGAAGTTGAACAAGAATGAAGAGAGTAGTAGCTACCTCTAGCGAGTCTTTCACTATCCAAATAAATATGAAAAGTACGGGCTACAGGGATACGTTGTCCTAATCCCTCATCCCAAATCCGTGAATTTGATAGCACCGATTTCTCACGGGTTCCTTGTCCTGTGTTGTATGGTTACTCTTCTGCTGACTAGTTTGGCGTGAGTCCACTTTTTGGCAGTTGCCTTTGGGAGTGTTGTATTTTTCGGATGGCCTTTCAGTTTTGTTTTTGTGTCATCCCTGACAATATGAACAAACTAAGCCCCATTTTTTCAGTCAATAAACCAATCATCCCTCCTAAATGGCTTAGCAATGCGTCTGCCCATGGTAAAAACTGTACAGGTATTAGCGAATCTGTTGTCCCTCGACACACACTGACTGCGTTGTCGCATGTAATATTCGCCTGTCTACGATCGACAGAATCAAAGAACAACCCATTACACGAAAAACAACTCAACTGTTGAAAATGTCAACCCAAGGCCTGACAAAAGCCTGACAAAAGTAGTCAGTCGCAACTTTCGTTCTACCTCCTCCTCATACCTGACGCATCTGGAAGTCTAAAATCCCCATTTGGGGTTACCGGGTCACACAGGAACCAAGGTGAAGCGGGCGCTCTACAAGGGGACGCCATTATCGGCCATTGGTGATACGTATTTGGGAAATCGTCCTGCAGTCAATTAGCCGAACTTTTCACTGAAGGCGGACGTGAGTTCCGATTATCCAGTTATCAGCGCTCTGTTGTAGTCAATATTGCAATCAACGGTCGACTGACCCCAAGTGTCGCGAAGCCAATCAGACAGCGGGCCAATCTCAATAATCTCTGGTAAAAAGGACTAGTGCCTTGTGATTCGACCAGATCGTTGTAATAAACATCCGGTTTGATTCAGTTAGTGACTTGGTACCGAATGGTATTCGGGAGAAATAACTCACCCTCGGTAGATGAACTGATCACACTGCATAGGTTGCGCTGACTTGGCCACGTGTTGCGTATGCCAGTCGACCGACTTCCTCGAAGGGCTCGTCTCAAAAGCCAACCCAATGGGTGGAAGAGAGCCAGAGGCGGTCAAACAAGGACTTGGCAGCGAAGGATGGAAGCAATTACCAGCAAACTCAGTTGCGCTGGTCACTGCCGTCTTCCTGGATAGGGACCCCGAGACGGGCTACATCAATGGCTAGAGACATTGTCAGATATGGCCCAGTCGCGCCGTCAATGGCGCTCGTGCATCAAAGCTATTGCCTTCAATGCATAGCTCCTTTTCCAACCCCCCTTCACTTGACGGCCCACTGACAGTGCTGGATTTACGCACCAATCTATCAGCTCCCGCCTGCAATGCGCAGCTACTTCCCCCTCCCCCCAAATCATCGGTGAACGAAACTGCGGCAGCTACAACCACTGTACGACGAGTACGCGGTTATTACAGTTGACAGTGATGATGATGATGATGATGATGATGATACCTATTAATTTCTCGTCGAGCGTTGATGGCTAGCCAAGTATGACGGTCTAACGGTTCGACAGTTTTCACTCAGATTGGCAGTCAACTGCTGATTAGACATTCACGTCTGCATCTTGAGACACTGACACCCGCTTTTTTGTTCCCGCTTTGGATGCTGTCCTTCAAGACGCTTTCCCCGTGAGCACTCATCGTAATCCGCTGCAATGTGGCTTGAAAAACTTCGCTTTAGTACGTTTGGTAGTATTAGCTTCAGGGGACTTTTTTGTCTCAAAAGCCAACCTTTCCCCAGGTTTTAGCCGTTTAGACACCTCACCCCTCGTGGTACCGCAGCTTGGTACCGAAAGGGTGTTTCAGCTGAATTGTTGCCTTATTATTTATTCATGACGGCACCTCTTGTGACACTAACAAGCTGCATGCAACGCCATGAACATTGTAGTACTAATTACCTTTTGCTTCACGTTTCGAACTTTGGTGTACGGTGTTGAACCACGACAGTTGTTTAATGTTTACCTGGTTAGCTGTAGAAGTCTAAATTTTTTGACCTTTTTATAGGTGTGCATTGCAAGTTACCGAACCTGGACTAAACCCATGTGAAGTAAATATTCAGGAATTCTAGCTCATTTTCATTGGCCATTATTTTGAGGTATAAATTGTTGATGTATGGTCTCCCTAATTCCATACGATTCGCCTTTACCTTATTACAGTGGGTACCAGAAATAATGCATTATTGTCAGCGGGTCCCCTTCCTTTTGGTGGGCACACAAACCGACCTGCGTGACAGCGACTCAACGGTCGGGGCGAACCGAGGCAGCAAGGCGAGGTTCATCACGCCAGAGGAAGGACAAAGGTTGGCCAAAGACGTTCAGGCAGTAAAATATGTTGAATGCTCCGCTCTCACACAGGTAAGATTTTTGCTGGCACTTGATGACATGTCTTAGTAATCTTCAGCATCATAATACGTTCGCAGAAGCCTTTTGTTGGACCACAGCTTGTCACGGTTTAAAATATTGTAGTGGACAGTGAGGTTGATTCGTTCTTGTTTTTTCAGGTGTCTGGTAATTTACTTACTTAGACAAGCAAAAGACGGGTTTATTCCAAGATGATTCTGACTGTCCGGTTTGCTGAGTTTGTGTCCCACACATATTCTAACATCACCGGTGTCGAGGTTTGGAGGGCTTGGTTTCTCAACGACTGAAAATTAAGTCCACAAAGATTACCTCTATTTCCTGACTGTAGTATTGCCAACATCATTAATCACTAAATCCTTGTTTTCTGTCTATCGTCGCTGTGTAATAATCGGCCATCCTTGTTCAGGACGATTGCGTCCACCGAATACCAACAACGAATCTCATTTACGCTGCTTTGTTCTGTCCTTGACATTCAGGGCGCTCACACAGTGAAACTGTTCTCCCTAATTCCTCACCCATCTTTTCTTTCCCTGGCTCCAGGCGAATTCGCTCGTTCTCCTACTCTGTCAGTAACCAACTGCTGTAGGCACGCGAATCGCGGTGGTCGCGTGCATAGCTCATGGTTCCAAAGCTGAGCTGAACTGCCAACTGTTGGCCGATTGAGATGTAATTTTCTCGTCGTCAGGACAATCCTTAATTACAACTCGTATTTGGGGTTGATTGCTTGCTAAGACTTCAGGGCAAGTCGCCCCGAGCAAATTTTATTCGAACATAAGGTGGACGCTATTTCAGTGTAAGCAGTAGTTCCACCCGGCATCAGTTAGCATATCGTACAGTCGCTTTTGATACAGTTATAGGCTGCATACTCCAAGGGACCGAAAATCTGGAGAAAGACTAACCGATCTGAACGATCTAGTCAGCACAACCTACCATTAATAGAACGCTGGAAGTGGTCTTGTTTCTGAATGCACTTTATGTCCTCGAATTGTTGAATTTCGCGTAGGGATCTTGGTTCCCTTATGTCTCTCTGTACTTGTGTAGTGACGAGCTTGCCTTTGTGTGTTTACGTAATCTCGGAAGCTGCATAAGCCGCCGCTGTACTGTCGCAGGAATTCATTGTGCGTGCGAAGTATTTACTGAATTACATTATTTGTGGTATCAGAAAAGAATTTCATTGGGGCCAACGCTATATGTACGGGGCAACCGCAAGAATACTCACTTCATGGGTGTGAAAGTTGGCTCTTCGGATGTTAGGATTTCAGATGTCTTCAAACATTCGGTTACTAGTACTTTCTTAGCACAGCAGAAGTTAGCTGGCTACAGCATGTCCGCAACTAAACGATTCGTATGCGAGTACTTGGTGACAAATAATGATTATTTGAGCAGAAAACCAAGCTTGTCAGTTTTGTTATTCGGCTCTAACACCCTTTCGGTGCCTAGCTGCCATGCCATCCGAAGAAAGCACGAGAGCTGGGATACTGTAAGATTTCCCAAGCCTAGTCATGAGATGTCGGGATGCAGAGGTCGGGTTCGAACCACAGATCTCACGGTCAGTAAATTCGCGCTCTAACCACTGAGCCATCTCGCCCCTCACTTTGTTGAAAATATATATATTGCACAGGCCAACCACCGGCTCCTAATCATCATCGTCGCAGATAGCAACATCAGTGTTGATACTGTTGCTTCACTGCCCTATAACCACAAATTTTATCTAATTATTTTTAAAGTCTTAGACCTATGGGAAGAAAAAAAGAGTGGGTGAGGGAGGGGACCTGGCGCTGGCCTGCCACAACTATTCTGAGGTGCCTGCACCTCCAAGTGCTCAGTCAGACACTGGAAGGAAACTAACAACACGAACCCCATTGACACCGATCAGCCGCCATTTTTTGCAACCGTTGTTTTCCACTTGAAACTCGCAGGTGAAAATTTACAGAAAGTGGGCCATTGCAGGACGACGCGAAAGAAAGGTGGCTGCAGTCAAACGGTTTGTTGTGAGACCTTCCTGCCTTCCTAGCTGGGATCCGCACGATCCTTCTTGCACATGGTTTAAAACCTCTGAAGCAGACAGCTAACCCTAATGGCTAGCTGCCAAATCCTAACAGAACTGTCTAGCTACAGTCTATAAGTCATTGTATGCTGGGCTTGTATTGGATAATACTGTGGATAAGAATATTCAGTCAGTTGCATTGATGGCCTGTCGCTCAGGCATGATGCCTGGTTATGTTTATTTCGTTCGCTTTTTGCACCAAATCCTCCCTTCTCCCTTTTCATTTTTTACTGGAGCGTTGTTTACTTACCGTTTTGTGGCATTTAAGTGGCGGTATTCACATCTGGTGTGTTACTGTTGACAATGAAGGTAATGATGAGTTGCTTTTCAAGGGTGTATTTATTTACCCACACTTTTCTTAGACTTGTGTGGTCACCTCTTCACATTACATGAAGGGCTCAAGGAGCGCCGTGCATACTGCTGATCAACACTAGCAGCTTTCTTTGACCTTATAGGCACCCTTGACTCCATGCATAAATTGGTACTTCTGCACATACTTGGTTACACAGGAAGTTTGTAATTATTCGTATTGCCATTTATTCCCGTACAGCTGTGCTGTGGACTACTAGAAACTATCCAAAAATTCCCCTACAACTAGCTCCATGTAGTTCAGTTGTTAAGCAGTGAACTTACTGACCTGAAGGTTCACGGTTCGAGCCCAACCTCAGCATCTCGATTACCCCTGTCCGAGCCTGGGCAACCTGGCAGTATCTTGGTCCTCGTCGAGCCTGGGCGGCAGTATCTTGGTCCTCGTGACATGCACCAAGAGAATATCACAGTTGCACTATTATTATTATTATTCTGAAGCTAGTGGAGTGGGTCACAATTGTCTTCTTTTTTGTTCAATTCTGTCGTAGGTACAACCGTAGAATGCATACACTTAGTTATCGAAACGGCGTCTGTACTAAGACTAGTTGACTTGGATTACGAGGATGACTATCAGGAATCCGCTTAGTTTACCCCAAATAGTCCAATAGTTAGGCCACGAGCTTACTAATAGGATGGTCCGTGGTTCGAACCCAACGGTTCCTGTTTGGGCTTGGACAACCTGGCAGTATCTCAGCCTTCATGCTTTTCTCGGGTGACACGGCGACTAGTCACCGAAATGGTGCTGCATATGGACGGTTATTATTAAATTATTACTATATTCTACTCTAACCGTTAGAGGTGGTCCCCTGTTTTAGCATGCGTTTTCCACCCTCGAAATACGAGGTCATACTAAACTTTCTAACCTCTTTCGATCCACTTTAAATTCAAGATAATGATCTTGAGTTGTGATTGGTCGTTTTACACGTCTTGTCAGCTGCATAAACGATGACTTTAGGTGGCCATGCCTGCATAACCAAGCGACACGCAATATTTGTCAACTCGCGTCATCTTGGGCATCAGAAGGTCGTTTTACTGGTGGAAGGGTTTTTGTCTACAAGACAACTTAAGCAGCAGTTTCAAACTATGATTGTCAGACCTCTCTAGGGCCTCAGATCTACTAAAATATTTGATCACTGATGTCCTGGTATCACAGCAGGCTGGCTGCAGTATGTTCTCAACTACGCGGTCCGTGTGTTCTCGTTAGTTGGTTGAAACCTTTGGCATCAGATCGAGCAAGCCAGGTTAAGGTGTTTGGGACCTGTGCTATATACGCTCAGCGGACAGGTCACGGAAAGCAAAAGCCGTTAAACTGATCGCCGTAAAATCTCCGCGACTTCCTGGTTGGGGTCCACGTGATTATCTTTTTTACAGAGTATGCCTCGTAAGCGGTACCAGTGGCGAGCGCGCTGTCATCGATGGGGTTTCCCAACTACTTTATATCCGTCTGGTAACAGTTTCAATGAACTTAATGAACAATAATCATTGTTTCATATCTCGATAACGCTTTGGAGTATTCATGGAGGATGTCCGTATTCGCGCCAATTGTTTCTCATCATTTTTGGTTTTAAGCATTGTGGGTGCTGCATGGAGGATATCTATGCGGTAATCACGGTGTCGCCCACCAGGGTTGGTCATTGGATAGACTTACAAACGCAGTCTCGTGGTCCTTCAGTCTGGGGGGTGGGATAAATGTGATAGTGTTTTCTTTAGGTCACGCGTTTCAGATAAAGTTCTTGGTTGAGTACCTAGTCGGCCCTCTTTTTAAGTTTGGATGCCGTGACAGTATCTGGGCCCGTGTATAACCATGAACCACACAAACAAATGTACCGTCATACCACTTCAGTCGCCTTATTCGGTACATACAGCCAGATCGATGAATGAAAACATGACAGCTGATGTCTCCCATCTTCATTATCATCTCAACTTTTTCCGGCCCCACATGCACCAAGAGAATATCACAGTTGCACTATTATTATTATTATTCTGAAGCTAGTGGGTTGGGTCACAATTGTCTTCTTTTTTGTTCAATTCTGTCGTAGGTACAACCGTAGAATGCATACACTTAGTTATCGAAACGGCGTCTGTACTAAGACTAGTTGACTTGGATTACGAGGATGACTCTCAGGAATCCGCTTAGTTTACCCCAAATAGTCCAATAGTTAGGCCACGAGCTTACTAATAGGATGGTCCGTGGTTCGAACCCAACGGTTCCTGTTTGGGCTTGGACAACCTGGCAGTATCTCAGCCTTCATGCTTTTCTCGGGTGACACGGCGACTAGTCACCGAAATGGTGCTGCATATGGACGGTTATTATTAAATTATTACTATATTCTACTCTAACCGTTAGAGGTGGTCCCCTGTTTTAGCATGCGTTTTCCACCCTCGAAATACGAGGTCATACTAAACTTTCTAACCTCTTTCGATCCACTTTAAATTCAAGATAATGATCTTGAGTTGTGATTGGTCGTTTTACACGTCTTGTCAGCTGCATAAACGATGACTTTAGGTGGCCATGCCTGCATAACCAAGCGACACGCAATATTTGTCAACTCGCGTCATCTTGGGCATCAGAAGGTCG